GATAGATAGATGGATAGATAGATAGATGGATAGATAGACAGATAGATGGGAGTTCCCTTTGGGAAATTAGGGAGGGAGGTCAGTGAATTTGGTCACTGAATGTGGCTTCAAACCAGAAAAACAACAGGCTCAGGTGCTTTTAAACTACATCTGGTAAAATCTCTGTTAGACAGAGATATGTTTTCTGCTTAACATTACTTTTAATCTTTTTGAATAGAAGAGTGAAACGGCACTGTTGATCTGTACCTTTTTTCCCTTCCTGTTTTTTCCTCCCTCCTGATTTCTCTATGAACATTTGTTGCATAAAAAAACTCGGAGGACTGTCAAAGTTTCCTAATTTGACCAAACCAAACAAGCTTCGCTCTGATTGGATTACAGAAGATAAAACCAAAAGTAACATTGTTACGTTGTTAATGTCAATTTCCTTAACACTTACAAAGTCCTCCTATAGATCGTGAACATCTGACCACCTCATATTTAATACCTAGATACAGTTTTGTTTAGCTCATGACTTCAGACCTGAACCTGTCTGGACACGTCTGAGGACTTCTTGAGTATTTCTGTGCCTCACATTTCTAAACTCTACCCAGTGTTGGATTCAACATGGCTGCTGTGGGTGTCTCAATTTTACCTGCAGCTTTATATTTATTTTGTGCAGGCAGCAGTAAATAGTGGCACGGAACTTTAGATTAACTCTCCTCTCCCACTCACAGGAATGTTTCCACCTTATCTGCAGGCTCACCTGACGTTTAGGGCTGGTGAAAACAGACCTGGAGCAGAGATGGAATACGACCAGACAGGTTCTGCTGCTTCTTTTCTTACAGCCCAACCTCCTTCACTTCACAAACACACCATTGTACGCACAGGTACACACAAGCAAGGCTTTCTCCCTCGCCTCAACAACATGGCTGCTGGGTCACAGCACCACTCTCTACAATGGCCCTGACTCACTGACCATTACCTGAATCTCAATATCACCGCGTAAAGGGAGGGGGAAGTGTAGTTAGAATGGATTAATTATGTATAGGGAGTGTTAAAAATCCAGGCTCTGTGAGCTCAGTGATAGCTTGCCTGTCAACAGGAACAGAAACCAAATATTTTAACCAATTACTAAACACTTCACACGGCTTAATAACATGCTGACATCTTAAGTCGACATCTCTCAGAAGTATTAGATAACAGCATTGGATTTGTTTGTTTTTTTTAAGAAAGAGTTTTTCAAGTTCTCTGTTTGTACACTTTTACTTTGCCACACCAAAGTCCATAGAGAAAATCAGCAATTTAAGGTTAAAGGAAAACAGTGAACACTGCAACACTGCTGCTGCTGCTGCTACATTACTGTGAACACTGCAACACTGCTGCTGCTGCTACATTACTTTTGTCACTGCTGCTAATCCAAACAAGGTTATTAAAGTGCTGAAGTCACAAAATAAGACATTTGAACTCAGTGGAGGAGGTGTCAGTGAAGCCACGCTTTCTGTGTGTCGAGGTGCAAAATCTTTGCCTTTCTCAATGTACTTTTGTAATGACGTTGTGGGGACATCATGAAATAAGTTCATAATAAAGGCAGGTAACCCATCTGTGTGTTAGGGAGCGCATCTCCTGTCAGTACTCAAAACAGGTGAGGTTAGATTTAGAATACCTGGACGATAGCGTGGCAAAGTCTCCCCCATCAACGAGCCGGATCTTACAGAACAACACTCCGTTAACAAACGGCACCGCGGTCAGCTCCTCCAGAGTGAAGTGCACCTGAAACTTAAACTTCTTCTTCTTTACTAAAAAAGACATGATCCGGTAAAAGAAGAGAAGAAACCTAATGAAGAGGTCTTAAAAATTCACATCGGAGGCTGGGGAAAGCCCTGGAATCATCTCTGAACCTGAAAAAGAAACAGAAACGATGAATGTCGGATTTGTTGTAGACTGTGACTAACATCAGTTCTCTGACTAGTAACATGTTTGTCACAATACTGTAGACGTGTTTAACAGTCATTGTACTATATCTTAAATCCTATTACTGTATAATTTGGTGACTATGACACATATTGTAACATAGGCACATGTTAAAATAATCAAATGCCAAAGCTGTGCAACAGGTTTTGAATTTGCGCCCTTTGATATTTTTTTTTTCTTTTCCTGAAACTGAAAGAACATTTAAAGGAACTAGATTTCAGTCCTAACACGAGACAGTGAAGCAGGTTTGACCTAGAATCAAAGACATCCCTCAAATTATATATGTATAATATGTGTGATTTAGAACAACAAATACTTGATTTAAACATTAACATTCTCAAACAGACATTTACGTTAACGTTAACAATACAATTCAGTCAGGTATAACGTCCTCTCAAAAACACACAAATGAGTCACCTTAACCTTGTGTTCTTAACATTGTCATTAAGTACTCACGGAGGGCTGCACCTGTTTGGTTCTAATTAAAATTGGTGGTTGAATGAAACCAGAATGTTTTTCAGATGTTAAAGACCAGAAAACGGCTTATGTCATGCTTAACCAAAAGTATCGTCAACCGCGGTAGTTTTTAATGGTAAAAATAGTGACATTTTCATATCGTGACATGTCTATTTGCATTTGTTTGTGAGGTGGGCAGATACGCACGTCATTTGTTTCAGTCCGTTTCACACACACCTAACGAGTTTCACTATATTTTTGTTTTACAACATAATAAAATCGTTGTTATTACACATTTATCGACACTTTAAATTCGGCGGTTTGGACCTTTACTCTCTGAGTGCAGACAGCTGCTGCCACGCAAACAGCGTAATCCGACCAGATCCGGGAGTCAACCCGTTTTCAGACCATTAGAGATACAGTATCTATAAAATCCATAACCGCAGTAAAGAAAAAAAAAACTCACCTTCTCCCGCTGCTCTCATCCCTAAACACCGGTTACAACATAACGTCAGAGTCCCGGAACCGAGAGTTGCAGCCCGGCTTCTCCACAGCCGCGTCACCGCATCTTCTCTAACTTTTCCTATGTCCGTACTTTCTTTACTACAGTCACGGCGAGACCGTGAACGCACCACGGGGTTAGAAACCGTCTATGAAGTCGAGTCTAAACGAGTTATAGCGAGGTTAGGGACCATCCAGCAGTTCTGAGCAAAGAAGAAAAAACGAATAAGACCGCTATAAGTAAAATACATTAGATTATTCGGGCTACTTTAATTAAGTATAATTGTTCTGAATTTCATTAGCATGTGCATCAATCTTAGATATGTCATAGATACGAAAAGATTACGTAGTTTATTAGAATTTGATTATTTCTAGATAACTAATACATTTTCATTTTTTTATAATTTTATTTGAATATCTAAATAAATACTATGAAAATAAGAATCTTCAAAAACATACGTAAATATTTTAATAGCAAAAGATGAGTAATATTGTGGTGTTTAAGAAACAAAAAGCTACAAGCTAGCAAAGAAAGTGAATGTAGTAGAAAATACCCAGTTATTTGTTTCAAGAGAAACGGTGCTTTTTGAATGTCCTGGCAAACGGTACAGCTTTCTTCCACTGCTATCCCGAGGAAGCTCCTCGCTCCTCGTCTGTAAAAACCAAAGTTAGGCTGTAGTGACCCCTTGTGACTCATTGCGGGATGCAATCTGCAGAGGGAAATCAAAAGCGGCATGTTTCTTTTTTTTTTTTTATTAAGTGAGAAAGTGGTTTGACATAACAGACAAACAGCACAGTCTGCAGAGCGATAGTTGAAATCCCATTATTCCGTGTAGCGTATCAATCGAACCCTGTTACCTATATTTTCATCAAAATAGGTTTTACAATTAGCTTTGGAGACAAGTGAAGTCTATCATGGACATACATGTCTGTGCAAACTGTCAATTACTGCTGACTATCGTGATGATATAACTGAGCTCCACCATTCTGTAGAGATGTACATCAGTATTTTTTTTTCTTAGGAATTCTTTTGCTTTTAGGCTTGTTTACAATAATTTTCCATAATGCAATTCAACCGCAGTTAAGAGAAATGAAACAATCCATAGAGAAACTCTATTGTACAAAAATAAAACATTTCTTCAAAATACCTCATCGAACATAAAATGCATGTAAAACAATACAATTCAGTAGGAAATATCTCTCCACACACACACACACACACACTCGTTCATACACAACCAGAGTCTACTGCGCCTCTTCAGGTGCTACCGCTGCTAGTGGTTCTGGAGTTTTGGGTCTGTTCTGCTCCTCGGTTCCTGACCCATCAGTGACTCCTGCTGTAGAACTGTTGGCAAGAACAGCCTCTGTGCCAGTCTGTAGGAATTTCCTCAGGTCTTTTAGTGCAGGCCGCATCATCTGGACAAGAGCAAGGAGGGCAGCCTGCGTCCCCTCCAGAGCCATGGCCTGTCTCTCCTGGGCAAACGCCTGTGCCTCCTGCGAGCGCCTCACCATCTGCAGCAGCTCGTTTTGACCCTCCATGGTCTGAGCAATCTGTCGTATGAGCATGTTGGTGACCCTCTGCTCCTGCAGGAGGCGAGCTGAGTTAAGGGCGATGCGGCTCTTCAGCTCCTGAGGCTTGGCCTGAACCCGCTGAGGAGGAGGAGGAGGAGTAGGAGAAGCAGGATCCGAGGCCAGCATCTCCACCGGAGCCTCCACAGACTCCACCACGGTGGTGGTGGCCTCATCCATAGTGGCAGTGCAGTATTCCACCACACCTCCATCCTCTAAGGTGAAGGTTGTTTCAGCTGGAAGAACAGGGAGGAACTCTTTTTACTGAACTGAATTAATATTGAAATCGTCAAAGTGTCATTCTAACAGCCGTTAAAGGCAGCTTTGGTTAGTGGTTTTAGCTATACTATTATTTAGCTTCTTTGACAGCCACTCTTGCGAAATGTGTGCTTATTTTTAGTTAAGTTTGATAAACTATATAAACTAATATACTATTTTACTGCCATTATCTAGAACAGGCGTGGGCAAATGGAGCATTTGTGTGAACTAAGATAAATGACATGTAAAAGTCATGCATAAAGGCTTTAAACGCCATCTATTGGGGAAACGTGGGTATTGCACGAAAAAGGCAGAAGTATAGTGATAACGTAAATAAATTATAGAATTCGGAAAAGTTCGACAGACCATATTAAAAAGCTGAGGCTCCCGGGCCTTAGTTTGCCCATGCCTGATCTAGAAGGTTTCACGTTGTTTGTGTTCTAACTTTTAACTGTGCTGCAGTAAAATACCCTTTCATATTCTCTAGCTCAGTGACCTTATTTATGTTTTTGAAGAATAATTTAAAAAACAAAACTCACTATTAAGAGGTTTGTGTTCAGTGCAGACTTCAACAGAGTCAGTGTGTAAAGCTGAAATGACACAAACACAATATGAGATCTGAAAACATGACAATGTACTTCAGATAATTGGGTGAAAGGATTCTTAAAATCCTTTAAGATTGGCTAATGTTCAAAATGTTTGCTAACTTTTCTGTTAGTATATAAATGTATAGATTTGATTACGCCATTCGGGTAGAGAGAGTAAAATTATACTTTTCTATTTGGGTCTTTCATAAAGGTTTACGTTGTTTTTTAAATTAATTTAATGATTTTCATTCATTCTTTCATATTGGACTCAGTAATGGACTTAATGGTACATTAATGCTGAAAGATTTCTACATATTTTAGCTATCTTTTAGCTTTTTGTGCTTAGTTTTAGTTAATATCAACTATTTAAGTTTCTGAAATCCCCAATTTGCTTTACTTTTAATAAAAGAACTGACGATGATAATTTTATAAAAGCAAAAACCAACAAATCTTTTAAGCACTTATCGTGACAGTTCAAGTATTGACAACGATGTTTATCGTGATGATGAAACTTTGGTGTAAACTCACTGCCAGTGAGCTGGATGGTGGAGGTGGAGCAGGCGGAGCCGGTGCTAACGGTCAACGGCAGAGTGATCTCCGCCCCGGTGGCAACAGCATCACCTTCTCCCACAGGTAGACTGACGATGGTTGCCTCCCCCAGCAGGTTACAGATTCGCTGCTGCATTGCTGTGAGGATGACCGGCACCGTGGTGCAGTCCGTAGATGTACCCTCGATAGCGGCCCTGGCCTGGGCCACTTTGCGGCGGACCTCTGTCTTCAAGTCGGACCATTTCTTCTTCACTTCCAGTAACTCTCTGGGACAGGTGGTAACAGAATTCACCTTCTTTACGATCTCCAACCACGCGTTATTCTTGGCCAAGTGTGTGACTCCGGCGTTAAAGTGATTCACCAGCGTGTGTTTTTGTTTTTCAATTTCCTCCACTATGATCTCCACCTCCCTCTCTGAGAAGTTCATTTTCCTCTTTTTCGACGCAGATGCCATCATTGTAATATTCCCTCTTACTTTACGAGAGAAAACTGTGCGTATTGTACGTAAAAAAAGTAAGATTTGACTTAGCTAAAATGCGCAGCGTAATGGCTTCCAGAATCGGCTTCTTCTCGACACCAGCAACGCTTACGTAGTTGCACCCGAGACCCGCCTACTGCCAGCCAATTGGCTGATCTCATAGCTCTTTACATTACTATTGGCTAACATATATGTTAATCTGTGAAAGGGCAAACTAATTTTAGAAATTTGTAAGAACAAAGGAAAACATATAGTCATTGTCAATGGATATTTATTTTTCCTGAATTTTATTTTTCAGCTTTATTATGTATTTATGTATTATGTATTTACGAAATTGAAAAAACAAGAAAGAATTTAGTTTTAATCTGTCAATACTGAACAGAAAAGGCGAGAAAAGACACAAAATATGAAGTATCGATGTATTTATAAGACAATAAAATGACTTAAAAGCAGATGCGCTAATGTAACTGTGGCTGAGCTGTTTAAAGTTGTATCAAGAGGGAAACGGCTGTTTGAGACGTTTTGTTATAATAAAAAAAACTTACAAACCCTGAAGATGGCGAAGAGTTTCGTTTTGTATTGTTAGTAAGCAATGGGTTATTATGAATGCTATATGATAATAAAAATTAAATATAATTTAAAATATTTAAACTTGTGCTTTGGTGCTGTTCATCATTGAAGCTTTTTTCTCAGTCTGGTCCACAGAAGTGGTGTCATATTCACATCTTGCGTAGTCTCGCACTCTGCTCTCGCGTTGTTACAGGGGACTTCACTCACACCCGGCTTCAAAAGCCTCGTAGCCGCTATCTTTTCTGCCCTTCTGCGCTCGTTAATCTGTAGACTTATCTGAGCATCGTTTCCAAAACGGCGTTTGAACCAGTAACCGCCCGGTAACTGTAACGTCCGTCACAAGAGCTCCAAATGCGGCGGAACGAATCACTTTGAGGCGGCGTTAGGGTATACAGTGACAGTTCTGGTTGTCGGATTCTCCGCGTCACCGGCTTCTCGGGAATTTGTCTACGTCGAGTTTACGTTGAAAGCGCTCACTGGTCATGTGAGGTGCCCGTCCCTGTCGGTGTGTCAGCGAGTGTGCCTGTTTTAGTGTGTGTCTGCGCGCGTGTGTGTTTGTATTCAGTGACCAGTAGCCGCTGTGTGGGTTCATTCCGGGAAATGTGACATTTTCACCGGGTACACATGGACGCAAAAAGCGGCTCTCCCATTCACCCATGATGCACCAGCAGGGCTCGACGATGACCTCTCTGCTCGGTGACGTTTTCTGTCAGTGCCGGGCGGCCGGCACTCACCCAGGCGACGACCCCGGTGGTGGTGGAGTTGGCGAACCCTACACCGACCCTCAGCAGTTGACCCCAAGTGACCCCAACCAGTCCTGCGACAGATGCGATGGAGCTGAACAGGAGCACCGACTCAAGGTTTTGTTCCAGATCCTTGACGTAAACGGAGATGGGGGCATCTGCGTAAACGACCTGACGATCGGACTAAAGAAACTGGGAGTTCATCGAACCGAGCATGAACTTATGGTGAGTGATACGGATGTCAGTGAATGAAAACCAATTCCCTTTTTCAAAGAGAACAAAAATTAACTTTGGGTTTTTGCTGATATTGATACTAATCCAATACCTCATGTGTCAAACTCAAGGCCTCGGGGCCAAATGCACCCATCAGATTTGTGTGAGCGAGAGCTTAAAAAGCATTTACTAAAGTGGATAAAAATGACTTAAAAGCAGATGCGCTAATGTAACTGTGGCTGAGCTGTTTAAAGTTGTATCAAGAGGGAAACGGCTGTTTGAGACGTTTTGTTATAATAAAAAAAACTTACAAACCCTGAAGATGGCGAAGAGTTTCGTTTTGTATTGTTAGTAAGCAATGGGTTATTATGAATGCTATATGATAATAAAAATTAAATATAATTTAAAATATTTAAACTTGTGCTTTGGTGCTGTTCATCATTGAAGCTTTTTTCTCAGTCTGGTCCACAGAAGTGGTGTCATATTCACATCTTGCGTAGTCTCGCACTCTGCTCTCGCGTTGTTACAGGGGACTTCACTCACACCCGGCTTCAAAAGCCTCGTAGCCGCTATCTTTTCTGCCCTTCTGCGCTCGTTAATCTGTAGACTTATCTGAGCATCGTTTCCAAAACGGCGTTTGAACCAGTAACCGCCCGGTAACTGTAACGTCCGTCACAAGAGCTCCAAATGCGGCGGAACGAATCACTTTGAGGCGGCGTTAGGGTATACAGTGACAGTTCTGGTTGTCGGATTCTCCGCGTCACCGGCTTCTCGGGAATTTGTCTACGTCGAGTTTACGTTGAAAGCGCTCACTGGTCATGTGAGGTGCCCGTCCCTGTCGGTGTGTCAGCGAGTGTGCCTGTTTTAGTGTGTGTCTGCGCGCGTGTGTGTTTGTATTCAGTGACCAGTAGCCGCTGTGTGGGTTCATTCCGGGAAATGTGACATTTTCACCGGGTACACATGGACGCAAAAAGCGGCTCTCCCATTCACCCATGATGCACCAGCAGGGCTCGACGATGACCTCTCTGCTCGGTGACGTTTTCTGTCAGTGCCGGGCGGCCGGCACTCACCCAGGCGACGACCCCGGTGGTGGTGGAGTTGGCGAACCCTACACCGACCCTCAGCAGTTGACCCCAAGTGACCCCAACCAGTCCTGCGACAGATGCGATGGAGCTGAACAGGAGCACCGACTCAAGGTTTTGTTCCAGATCCTTGACGTAAACGGAGATGGGGGCATCTGCGTAAACGACCTGACGATCGGACTAAAGAAACTGGGAGTTCATCGAACCGAGCATGAACTTATGGTGAGTGATACGGATGTCAGTGAATGAAAACCAATTCCCTTTTTCAAAGAGAACAAAAATTAACTTTGGGTTTTTGCTGATATTGATACTAATCCAATACCTCATGTGTCAAACTCAAGGCCTCGGGGCCAAATGCACCCATCAGATTTGTGTGAGCGAGAGCTTAAAAAGCATTTACTAAAGTGGATAAAACAGTTTCTTAGCCTGAGAAATTAAAAGTTTTTTTATTACTCAGCAATGAACAGTATTTGTAGCTTGAATAAATAATCATCAATTTCAGAAACATGTGTTAGTCACTTGGAGTAGTTCCATCTATACCAGTGGTCCCTGACCTTTTCTGTTCCAAGGACTGGTCAGCCAGTACCACCTGTTACTATAGACCAAGGTGCTGAGCATTGAAGGGTCATTACATTTTCTAAATAAGACATATTTTAGACTTCTATTCTGTTTGAATCAGTCTGAATTACTTTTATTTTAAAATATTGACAGATTATCTAAAGAAAGTAAATGGACATGAATGGATTTTCTTTGAACTAAGTAAATTAGTAAAAATTAAACACATTTTTACAGTGTCCCACTGCGGCTGGGTACCAAATGACTTATGGACTGCTACTGGTCGGTAGACCGGGGTTTGGGAACCCCTGATCTATACAGTCTTCCATTTACAACCGGCCCTTCAAGGGGAAGTGTATTGCTGATGTGGCCCCCTGGTGGAAATGAGTTTGACACCGCTGCAATACCTGCTTTCCTCCTCTCCTAATTTATAAATTACAAATTATATAAATAATTATTTGCGCAACGTTAACATCTGATCTGAAGAAACAAGCATGAAGCTGATCCCGTAGGCTAATTTCACGACGCTGTTACAACGTTGTCTGCCGTTATCACAGTGACTTGTATGTTGGCTTATTCTGAGTCTGACTGCGATTATTCATTGGCTTGTGGATAAGCCTGCCAAAAAAAAAAAATCATTCACCTTGTTCTAAAGTCACCATTCCTCACAGGGCAATTACAGCGTAGAGGCGGAGCTCTTCTTATTAAACTGGTTCCTCCGGGAAAATTGAGCTCAGCAGCAGAATCGGTGAAGTGTTCACTAAGCACTTGGTACTAACAGGATTATTTGGGAGGAGGGATAGATCTGCCCTCGCCCTGGTTTCCCTGGAGAAAGTCTGATCTTGTTGACCGTTACAATGCAATTGAGTTCATTTGCCGAGGGGACGACAGTGTTGTCCTGTGGAGAATGTGCTTTGAGTAACTAGTAGGGACTGAAGGAGTCGGGTCACTCAGCAGATTTTTTGGGGACAGAGGAAAAGCCATCTGCTCCACCCTCTCTCTCTCTCTCTGTCTCTCACTCTCTCTCTCCTGTGACTCTGACTGTCAGCTGGTGGCATAAATTAGTAGAATGAACCCTGCCATCGATTGGCTGAGAGAAGCACTCCAAGACTGGATGGTGTAACCTGGCAGCATGAGCCGCTCTGATTGGTTGTGCTCAGCTGCAGTGAGGATGCAGGTTTTCGAAACGTTCTCTTTTCCTGCTGCTGATGCTAAAGCAGGCTGCGGCTCCTTCTCTGCTGCATCATCCGACTTCCCTCCACAAGAGCAGCTGTTTTATTTACTGTTTCAGGTGGAGGTTTAGTAATAGAGAAACCATTTTTTTTTTCTCTGTTGTTCTTCAGAGGATGCTGGGCAGGGAGAACTCTCACCACAGCTATTTTAAATGATGAAAATGCTGTACAGCAGCCGGAGCTTTTTGGTGTCCTTCTTTAGCTTTTCTCTACTTTTTTCTAACTCTTTGCCCTAACCCGACCACCACTGTGAAGTGTCTTTTTCTTTTTCTTTTTAAGTCGAGTAGCGTTGCACACATACAGTTGAGGATGCTGCAGAAGATTCTGGATTGTCTGAGTCAGAGACTTTTTGGTCGGACGCAGTGCAAACCTGCTCAAACTCAGCAGTCGGGTGACGATGATGTTACTCAGAACAGTAGGGGGCCAAAAGCTGCTCCAACAAACTCTCCTGACACCAGAGCAACAGGCAGGGCTGGCGCTACGCCAAAGAAAACAACCATGTTAATAATGGTGGCACCCCCTGCAGATCTGAAACAGGTAGGCTTAAAAAACAAAAAAAGCCGATGTCAGACGTTGTTACTCTGGTTGTTCTTTTAATGGGTTGCCAACCATAACCTCAGTCAATCTAACATTTTGTTAACAACAATAACAGTGTAGACTGATAGGTGTAGTCCAGCCTAAATGTTTTTGGTAGACATAAAATCTGTCACTGGTGTTCTGCATTGGGGTCATTGGGTTTGGTCTTTTCAAACTCCCATACGTTCCAAAGGCAGTTAGGCCTGCAGCCATCAGCAAATAGGTTTAAGCAAACAGTCTTTACAAATGTTTTGCATGCATGTCCTCAGCAGGTTTCACACCAACAATAAGCGTGAACTCACTGCATTTAGTCTGCATCAAAACACCCTGTGTCAGATACTGTATACATCCTGCTTTCATCCAGCTATCGTCCTGGAGCTAATTTGTAACTTGATTCAGGGTGAAGTGCAACCAACAGATTGATTCAACAGCCGCAACGATTTAAATTGTGAATGACACACCACGTTCTTACTCGCCAGTGATTACATCACTGATTTAGGTTCTCGGTAGTCTTCTCCCTGTGTTTCGCCTTTATGCAGATGACGCTCTTTTGTTTTTGTTTTTTGGTAAAAGTTTTGATGTCAGATTAAAAAATATTATCTCTGGCTCACATTGGTATTTCATTCCACTTCTTGTGGACATTGCACTGATGTGATGGCAGTCAAATTAATTATTAAATAACCGACTTCACCTTTGCCCAATGACACCATTGGCTGTACAGGTGCAGCTACCATTCTGATTGATTTGATTTTTTTTCTTTTTCCTGTCTGCTGTGTTCACTCATTGACTTATTCTCAGATATGCTTCACTGGAAAATCACTTCCACTCCTTCAGACGGAGTCCTCCTGCACATGGTCCATTACGTTCACTATTTCTGCTCATGCTCAGTGTGTAGCACAGCAGGTCATTGGGCGAAGTGTTGCTCAGGGCAAACATAAAAAGAAGCCGCTTCCTGCTTTCCAGCTGGTTGGACAGTGTGTGAGTGTAGGAGAAAGTGCTCTAAAATGTTTGCTATGGCTAATACTCAGTGGAAACTGCAGGCAGAGTCAACGGTTCACTGACTGTGGAACATGGACAGAAAAAAAGAAAGAAAACACCAGTCACTTAGTTCCAGTTCATTTTCTCTAATTGTTTCTACAGATGTTGCCCGTAAAGGAAAAGTTCCTGCAAACTGACACTCAAACACGTCGTATTCTCTGTCCCTACAGAAAATAGTGAAGGCGGGAGACAAAGACCTGGACGGACAGTTAGACTTTGAAGAGTTTGTCCATTATCTCAGAGACCATGAGAAGAAACTAAGGCTCGTGTTCAAGAGTTTGGACAGGAAGAACGATGGTAAGGAAACCTGTTGAAGTCTGTATAAAGTCACACTTGAGTCAAGAACTTTAGACATTACATTCATATAATGACAATTATTGCTTTGTGTTGCCACAAGGTAATAATAACTGTGATGTCCATAAAAACAAAACAAAAACTTCTACACACATCCTTCTGCTGCTTCTCTCAAGGCATAATTCCCAGCATTTATATCCTGGAAATAAACAAGTCTCTACAAGTTGACACATTCACAGCTTTTGCTTCAATCAAACTATCAGTGTTATTTAGTTGAATTTCTTAAAAAAAAAACAACTCATATTTTCATTGAATAAAATGAACAATGTTTGAAACCAGTGTAATTTCCCCACTCTAGCACATGTAAAGAAAACATTAAAATTACATTTTTTTTTAATTATTATTTTGACTTCCTCCTAACCTGCAACCCCCGACAAGTTGCTTGACTGCCTACACTGAGAACCACTTCATTGGAGTGACCTTGATTTGAATGCTAGGCTCATATTCTATATGCATAGACGTAACACAACCTACTGCTGCCTATGTTAAAGTATTGGAATACTTGACATTGCTTCGCACATGGAGTTTGGCAGCAGAACAGTGAACAATCACTTAACAAGAAACCAGTATAAATAACGTCAGCCTCAGAGATTATTGGGCTTTTCTTTTTCTTAAGTACACATTCATGAATGGAAAATGATTGAATAAAATGAACAATGTTTGAAACAAGTGTAAACTCTATCTGAGTACAACTGGAAACCAATACTTGTTATCACGTCTGTGGGGAAGTCTGTTCCGATTTATACCAATGAAATAAAAGCTCATCTCACTGCATTGGCGCCTCAGTCACAAACACTGTGGTGACCCCAACATGACCAATAAAAAACGAGGACAGCTCTCCATCCATTCATTTATACATCAGTAAGCATACTCCTCATAGCTCGTAACTGATATCGTAAAAGTCATAAGCGTGCTGAGAATTCCAGTTTGACCATTTAACCTCTGTGTGACCTGTAAAGTTATCAGTAAATGACTCATTTCTCTGCTTTAGGCCGCATCGACTCACAGGAGATCATGCAGTCTCTGCGAGACCTGGGAGTCCACATCTCCGAGGAGCAGGCTGAGAAGATTCTCAAAAGGTGAGAGAAGGAGTGAAGCTGTGGTCATAGTGGGCTCGTGACAATACACCTGACAATAAAGTGTTAGTTCAGTGTATATGTGTGGTTTTAGTCACTTATCCACAATCTACAAAAAGGTATCCTTTGGTGGCATTTTATAATTCGTTGTCTACCTAACACCAAATAGCGAAAATTATAAATTTGCCATAAAAGAACCAAAGTTCGGCGCCCAGCCCTAGTGTACTACGGTGTTGTTTAACCAAATGACAGTCAAATAAAGCAGTGGACAGTGTCTGAAGATGTTAAGATTTTATATATACGTAAAATGACATTGATTTATTAAAAGGGTTTTACTGTTGCGTGTCTAAAATTAGTTCCTCAGCACAGACACAGAATGTACCTTTAATACCAGGTGTGAACAGTAGCAGATACTGTAACTGTGGACATCTGTGACTTATTTACCTTATGAGTCTTTTTGTGATGAAACACACAGCGTGTGACATCATCACTGAAGCGTGGGTCATTTTAGGGCCCACGTTTAAAGAACACCAAAAATTTGATTTCAGCAAAATTTAAAAAAAAATGGAATTGTTCAACAAGAGCTGAAGTCAGAATGTAGCCCCAGGTATTGGCATTCAAAAACAAATAACAAAATAATTTGTTCTCATTCAGTTTAGATGAGCCATCATCCTCATCAGCCAATCATAGACAGAGTTTACTCTGAAAAAATATAAGTATGGGACTCTTTAGTTTGCTTGAATTCTACTTGAGTAAAAGTAAAAAAATACTTAATTTATAATTTACTTAGTACAAGTTACGTAGTTACTTTACATTACTTGATGCAGAAAAGGACCGGTCATACATTTAATCTGCAGCTAGTTGTTTTTAATCAACATATTATCCATTTGAACGCCGATGCTGCAAATTCAAGCCACTAAAGCACACTGAAGATTTGACCGTGACAGCTCTGTCCACCGGGGGCAGGTACATTTAGTATTGCATGAAGTTACTGCCTTTTTTGTGTTCGAAAAAACAAGAGCTGGCTTAGATTTGGCCAAGGATTTCCTTCTCTTTCTGAGTCCTCTGCTCAGCAGCTCTCTGCTTGGTAATCCTCAGCCTCCGTTTCTTGTTCGGCACCAGCCGTCATCCAACGACAGGCTAGAGTGAAAATCCGCACGACCACGTCCACGCAGTTTGTTTTTTTTTTTCATTTTTAAATGACATTTTTTACTCAGGAACGGGTTCTTTTGCAATGTTGCGAAGTGAAACGCTTGGGTCAAAATGTACTTATGTAAAAGTACAATAACCTATTCCCAAAACTACTTCAAAAATTACAAATAACTATATTACAAAAACTACTCAATTACAGTTACTTGAGTAAATGTAATTGCTCCTGCTCCTCTCCACCAGTCTGGTTTACAGTTGAGGGTTCACTGCCTGATGTTGTGTCCCCTTCCTCTAACTCCGTTTGTCTGTCTGTCTGTCTGTCTCTTCTTCCTGGTTTGTGCGTCTCAGAATAAGGCGGGGTCATATCTGGGCCCCTATCTTGTAGTAAGTAGTGTCTTGTTGTCCCGTCCTGCCTGGCATTTCCTGCATCCATCACCAGCTCCTTCCTCTTCCCCTGTTCATGCTTTTAAATGTCTTGTGTCCTGTGAGACGGATATCTGGGTCCGAGTTTCGTCTTTTCTCATTTTCTTTTCTCTATGATCTTATGTTCACAGTATGGACAAAAATGGCACAATGACAATCGACTGGAATGAGTGGCGGGATTATCACCTGTTGCATCCAGCAGGCAACATTCCCGAAATCATCCTGTATTGGAAACACTCCACGGTAAAAGTTTCCCCGGCCATTTTTTTTGACTAATTCCAAATTCCCTTCAGTTGCTTGCATATGTAAGTGTTCTTCAGTGCAAAACTCTGTTATCTCTGTGAGTCAGCCCATCCCATAACTGTACTCGGTCTCCCCCACCCCCAACCGCATCCTTTTTTATCAATTCCCGTTCCTACTAATAGAAGAAACTGACAGTAATTGAGTTATTGAATGACTAAGAAACGTGTGTTTTCAGAAAACTAACCACATTTCTTCAGGTGCCACTGACAAAGCTGCCAGTACTGACGCTGTTGTCAGTGTCTCACACAACTGACATCCTCACATTATCTCTCTCCTCCACAGATCTTAGATGTTGGCGAGTGCTTGATGGTGCCAGACGAGTTCACTGCGGAAGAGAAGAATACAGGAATGTGGTGGAGACACCTAGTGGCTGGAGGAGGAGCTGGAGGGGTGTCTCGCACCTGCACGGCCCCGTTGGACAGACTCAAAGTCCTCATGCAGGTGAGACGGCTCAAAAGCCGCGTTGTCTGGGGAGGTTTGCGTGAGCACGTGCTGACCGGCTGTTCTGGTTAGGTTCACGCCTCCAAGAGCAACAGCATGCAGATCGCCGGAGGCTTTTCCCAGATGATCAGAGAGGGAGGTGTGAGGTCACTGTGGAGAGGAAACGGCATCAACGTCATCAAAATCGCTCCAGAGACTGCAATTAAGTTCATGGCCTACGAACAGGTTGGCCTCACTCTGACAAAAGGCAATGGGCGATTTTTTTTTTTTTTTTTTTTGTCAAGGTTCTGTTGGTTGACAAACTGTTTCTGCTCGTCAGATAAAGCGACTGATTGGAAGTAATCAGGAGACACTGGGAATCGCAGAGAGGCTGGTGGCTGGAAGTCTGGCCGGAGCGATCGCTCAGAGCAGCATCTACCCCATGGAGGTGAGTCATGAGGATCCTAACATTGTCATATGTAATACCAAATCACAGGGCAGACATTCTGTTGTGTGTGTGTGTGTGTACCAATATTCTCGAAAAGTCCAATTTACATGATTAGGTTAATTGTTCACACACAGAGGTGGGAATGTGAGTGTGAATGGTTGTTTGTCTCTATATATGGCCATGTGATGGACTGTAGGACTGTCCTGAGTGTCCCCACACAACCCTCAAAAGTCTTAGGAGATGAAGGCCATGTCCACACAGGTTGGTTTTTTTTTTTTTTCATTGGCCACGGACAGGGTGGCCCCCCCCTGGCAAAAAGGGAAGGGGGGTTTTTTTTTTTTTTTTTTGTCAAGGTTCTGTTGGTTGACAAACTGTTTCTGCTCGTCAGATAAAGCGACTGATTGGAAGTAATCAGGAGACACTGGGAATCGCAGAGAGGCTGGTGGCTGGAAGTCTGGCCGGAGCGATCGCTCAGAGCAGCATCTACCCCATGGAGGTGAGTCATGAGGATCCTAACATTGTCATATGTAATACCAAATCACAGGGCAGACATTCTGTTGTGTGTGTGTGTGTGTACCAATATTCTCGAAAAGTCCAATTTACATGATTAGGTTAATTGTTCACACACAGAGGTGGGAATGTGAGTGTGAATGGTTGTTTGTCTCTATATATGGCCATGTGATGGACTGTAGGACTGTCCTGAGTGTCCCCACACAACCCTCAAAAGTCTTAGGAGATGAAGGCCATGTCCACACAGGTTGTTTTTTTTTTTTTTAGTTGGAGGGGAAAAAAAGTCATGTGTAATTTTTGTGACGCTGCAGCCAAGACTTGAAGAAAGCTATATGTCAAAAGGTCAAAATGAATCAGAAATGTTAGTAGTAGTATTTAAGCAGGATGATGGCTTACGTCAGTGAGGCTCCGGACAGGTATTAAATTGATCTTTGAAGTGTTTAACAAGTGCTCCTGTACGACCATGAGTGAACCGTGTGTTTGACATATGTCCCTCCCTGTCCTTTCAGGTCCTCAAGACACGGTTAGCGTTAAGGAAGACAGGTCAGTACTCGGGTATTTCGGACTGTGCCAGACACATCTTCCAGAAAGAGGGTGCCACTGCTTTTTACAAAGGCTACGTCCCAAACATGCTGGGCATCATCCCGTACGCTGGCATCGACCTGGCCGTCTACGAGGTGTGTGTGTTGGTTAAGTGCTACCTCGACCTGGCCGTCTACGAGGTGTGTGTGTGTGTTGGTTAAGTGCTACCTGTGTGTCTCAGGTCTAAAGACATCTCGCTGACGTCTTTCCTTTTTTTGTTTTTTTTTTCTATCAGACCTTGAAGAACTGGTGGCTGCAGCGTTATGCCACCGACAGCGCTGATCCAGGAGTGTTTGTGCTTCTGGCCTGTGGCACCACCTCCAGCACGTGTGGTCAGCTGGCCAGCTACCCTCTGGCTCTGGTCAGGACTCGTATGCAGGCACAAGGTAAGTCGTTGTCAGTCATCCACTCTTGGGGGGGGGGGTGATGCAAGAATACAAACACAGGAGTGCAGCAACACAGACGAGCAAGTATGCCGAATTTGTTCGAAAGTAGCTAAAAAAGAGGCAAATGGACAAAGTTTGCACGCCTAGCTTAAACATAACCATCCGACACCGCTGGGGGGGGAAAAAACGCGCCTCGAGATGCAGTGCCTTTTTGATGTATTAAAGTAAATATAAGTAAAACTAAATGAAGTACGCTACATCGCAAAAGGTTCACGACCCCGCAACCTCTGAACGCCCTTAATATGTTTTAGATTTTTTTTATAAACCTGTACACTAGGGGTCACCAACTTTATTTGTGGGAGGGCCAGAATTATTCTGGACAGACACATTAGAGGCTGGACGCTCGTAAGTAAAATGAAATAGGAATCACTGCTTCGTCCAACACTATTATTTGATGTTTATTTTGGATTCCAGTTACGGTCCTGATTGGACGGTTTGGTGGGCCTGATTCGGTCCACGCACCACCACTTGATCATTAATGCTGCTCTTTTTAGAAAGGAGTCTCACTACAACTTGTGCCTAAATTAAAATCTGAATCCACACACAGTTAACCTGAGCAACTCAAAGATTCTGAATGGGAAACACACACCCCCCCCTACCACTAGATGGAGCTAAACTAAAACCAATGGTACATGTACCATAGTTGAGAAAACATGGAATTTTCTCTCTGTCTTCTGCAGCTACTCAGGAAGGAGGCCCTCAGATGAGCATGACTGGCCTGTTCAGACACATTGTCAGGACAGAGGGCGCTACGGGACTCTACCGAGGCCTGGCCCCCAACTTCATGAAGGTCATTCCATCTGTAAGCATCAGCTACGTGGTTTACGAGTACCTCAAGATCACGTTAGGGGTACAATCCAAGTAGAGACCAAAGCTTTATTATCTGCAGTTTTAGTTTAGTTTTTTTTTTTTTTTTTTTTGAGGTTGCGCTTTTGTACTGGAGAAAGTAAGCAGCTAAATTCTGCACATTTAAATAAATTATTGAATTCTATGGAGAAAGATGAAAATAAAGAGGAGCCGGGATTCAGTATCCAAATCCTGGAGGAGACTTTGAGGAAGCGCTAAAAGTTTACATTGAACTGACTGGAGGTGTTGACTGGCGCCACACGGTGGCAAGAGCAGTGCTGCTCTGTGACAAAGGGCTTTGCTGAAGTTAAACATATCAAAGGTTTCCCGTTTAAAGGAATTAAGACAACATCACATCTGCAGGTGGGTTTGGCACGTGTGATGTTTTAACCTGGATGTGGAGCCGCACGGTTTTTTTTTTTTTTGCAACCTAGTAAAGTAGGAAGTTAGTAAAAACGAGTGAGCATTATTATGTTAACGGACTTTTAGACTTGCACTGAATTCTGGGAATGCTTGTTGAAATCAACTCTTAAGGCTCTGTGGGAATAAAGCTAAAGCTTCGTCAGGCTTTCGTCAGAGCTTGTAGGCATAAAGGAGAATGTCCGGCCAACTCAGTGTCTTAGCCCAGCTACTCACCTCTTCTCTGTGGTGTTCTCTCGAAAGAATGCTTTGCTGTTATGCTGGTAGATGTTCCGAAACAGTTTCCGCTGACATTTGTTTGAAAGACAATCTTCAGGATACAGTCAGGACCGTGTCTGTAAGCAGCCGGGAATTCAGTTCACTGGGCACTTAGGGCAGATGGAGGATGGATGGATGGACTTTAATGACGGAGTATCTTTCTATGAGGCATAGACCGTGTTGACCTGCTGTCAGTAAGCTTGTCAGTGTCTATATTTAACTTTACAATGACAGTGTTGCTACAGAGTCCCAAAAGCTTTTAATATTTACTGTGAAGAGACAAGATATGGAGTCTGTTATCAAGGTACCATCTTGTCCACACAGGGGGAAAACATGAGACTACTCTGTGTGCGTGTAACGGTATACTAACAGTATATACTGAGTAAACAAGCTGTTTATCTACACCATGGGTGTCAAACTCATTTCCACCAGGGGGCCACATCACCAATACAGTTCCCCTTGAAGGGCCGGTTGTAAATGGAAGATTGTATAGATCAGGGGTTCCCAACCCCCGGTCCGGGGACCAGTACCGGTCCATAGGTAATTTGGTACCGGGCCGCAGTGGGACACAGTAAAAAATTCACTTTTTACAATTTACTTACTAATTTATTTCATTCAAAGAAAATCCAGTCATATCCATTGACTTTCTATATTTACCTAATACATGATTCAATAATTGATTACTATTTATTCAAGATATCAAATATTGTTCATTGATGTGCAATAAAAACACTTTAATTTCGAGGTTCAGAAATTCTGCAGCATGGACTTTGCTAAATGCTTTTTAAGCTCCCGCAGGCACACAAAACGGTATTGGCCGCGTTTGGCCCCCGGGCCTTGAGTTTGACACGTATGATCTACAGCATGGTCTGCCTCGATATATTATCATGTCTCCGATGTGTTGAATGTCTTGGTTCACGATACCGTTTTCATGGTAAGAGAAGAACCTCATTTTTTTTCAAGCTGGCGATCAATAGGAAGTTGTATTTTGAATTTCCTGAGACTTTAATGAATGAACATAATCTTCACGTCATTGTTGTAACTTTAAGAAAACTAGTGAGTCTGATTAAGTCGACCCCTGGAGGCGGTACCGGCTTGGTTCTGTTGTTTGGTTGGGGTAAACACAGGACTAAAAACGAATCTTGATTTCACCCTTCAGCAGTTCCTCAGCAGGCTGAGAGCATTCAGGTTCCTGTAGAATCCGAATCTTAACTTCTCCACTGATTTATACAAACATCTGGGCAGTGACTTCTTTGTGAACCACACTTATCAGATTAGCGTGCTTGGTCCACTGCTGGACACAGGAATGGAATTAAAATGACATATATAGACACAGTCAGTGAAAGTACGATTGTAACAGTGTTTACAGTCGGTCTCCACCTGCAGGATGTTTCACACAGTTTTCATGTCAGCTTCCCACTTCAACTGTCAACAGAGCCACAGGAAAAACACACTGACACAGATTCATTATTTACGTTTGTTCCACGCATGTGGCCCACTGTTGTACCAGTGTAAATTTACACTCCTTGAAGTCATATGACAGGAAGTCCAGGAGCAGAGGAGGCAATGACTGACACCCAAGTCCCAACAGTGCCTTGTGTGTCAACCCTGTTGACACTGATGCACCTGAATGCAGCAGGAGGCAGAACCTGTGGGACACTGAATGCACTTTAACGTAAAAAAAAAAAAAAACCCTTAAAAGTTCAATTATACCTGACTTTGTCTTTATTTATTATTGATGTATTTCTTATTTATTTAAACGTGTATAAGAAACAGCTGTCTGAGTTTGTGTAGATGTAATTATTTATTTCATTTGAGTCCGTGAAAAGTACTTAACAACGAAAAAAAAAGAGGGAGAACTTGGCAAAATGACATAACATTATTTGTTAAAGCAATACTTGAAATTGACGTTTCCACACCGAACATTTTATGGAGGTATTTAAATTGTTTTTTTGTTTTTTTTCCTTTTCATTTTTTTGGAATCGTCCTTCACCTCTCACAGACATGCTATCATACAAGATTTAGCCAGTTAGCTCATGTTAGCGAAGCTAGCACCAGTACAAACCTGCGAAACAATCTTCAAAACAACATTTTTATGATATGTTTCTGCCACCCATTTAACACTGCCACTGTGGAACAGTTTTTTAACAGTCTGTTTCAAAACACTATATCACGTATACTGTACCGTTCTTTCAAAAAGACTGTCACAGGAGCGGCTGGTATATCCTGTATGTTCCATTTGGCTGGGTTTCATCATCAACAAATACGTGATCCAGAGGAGCTCAAACAAGGCTCCTTATATAAGGTACACTGTGCTGAACATGAGAAAACCTACCACACAGTTGAACTCTCGCTCTCCTTCACGTCTGCTGCCTCTGTCCTTTGTCACCACCACCCTGTCCTGCAGACGAACTGCTCACTGTTGCTCTTGAATGTCTCCTGAAGTCTCAGTGTCGTCGCTCCTCTTGCGTTCTCTTCACCCATTGTTGTAACATCGTGTCATTTTATCCAAACGGTAGTGAGCTGAATGATTTCACTCTGTAACTGGCTGCTGGGTTTTTTTTGTTTTTTTTTTTTTTTGTTTTTTTTGTACTTTGTTCTGTTTAAATCGTAAAAGTAGGCCTCGCCGTGCTGTAAGTTCTACTTGACGCCGCAGTAGTTAGATGTACAGGGACCACGTGAACGCAGGGCTGTGTATTCTGTGATGCTACCATATTTACAAAATGCAT